ATTTATTTATTTATTTTTGGCTGTGTTGGGTCTTCGTTTCTGTGCGAGGGCTTTCTCTAGTTGTGGCAAGCGGGGGCCACTCTTCATCGCGGTGCGCGGGCCTCTCACTGTCGCCGCCTCTCTTGTTGTGGAGCACAAGCTCCAGACGCGCAGGCTCAGTAGTTGTGGCGCACGGGCCCAGCTGCTCCGCGGCATGTGGGATCCTCCCAGACCAGGGCTCGAACCCGTGTCCCCTGCATTGGCAGGCAGATTCTCAACCACTGCGCCACCAGGGAAGCCCCATGCCATGTCTTAATTCTCTATATCTGCACCTTCTTCTTCATTCTTGTTTCAATCTTTGCAATTCTAGAATTACATTTTCTTTCTTTATGTTGATCCTTCTATTCCTCAAGCTTCACAAGTGTAGGAAAAATATTCCTCTTTATAGCTATTCCCCAGAACACAGAAAGCAAACACAGTGTTTTCTTTTTCCCTTCATGTATTTTTTCGGGTCTTTCTTTCCAGTACCTTCTACTCAAGGCCAAATGTTCTCATATTTTCCAGAAAAGCATAAGGTTCTATAATGTTGTAGAGATAGTGACAACTTTATACACTGAAGAAAATGTTATGTTATTCTGAACAAAGTTGGGAGATGGGTGTAATTTTAAAATGTAGAAGAACACTATCCACTGTGACTGGAGCCCCAGGCACACTCTGGCAACACTGCATATAGGCTGTAGAGTGTAATAGAGGATGGTAGTGGGAAAGAAAATAAACATATGTATCAGTAAATTCAAGTTCAAACGGTCTTTTAGAAATAAGAGTCAGAAATCTGAGGAAAATGTGCTTTTGCTAAAAAGTACAAAGAAACTGTAAACTGTAAAGTATAATGAAACTGTAAACTGTAAAATACAACGAAACTGTAAACTGTAAAGTACAATGAAACTAAAAACTGTAAAGTACAATGAAACTGCAAACTGTAAACAAAACCCCACACACAGCTCAATTTAACACCAACTCGTCAGCAAAATGTACTGGGATGAGAGTATCTGGCTGGAATATGGTGATTAATGGAACAGTGTAAGGGACCAGATAAATCCAGTTTAGATTCCAAACTGGTCTCCACGTTATAGTAACACGATAATAAAAATGGGAAGAAATATAAATCTAATGATTCTGGGGTGGGAAGCACTGAGACCACATAGGGTAAGGTGCTAAATGGCAACTTAGTGTGATAAAGAAAGTAAAGATAAGAATGCCCAAGTCTTAAAACCATGCTGAGGATGAGGAATATGTATGAAATGTACTCAAATAAATAGTTCTTTTTATTGTCATTAAATCAATGCAAAAATAACTGGGAAAACTGCAAAAGGGATGATAACTGAAGACAACAAAATGGAGTCTGAAAAGCAGAAGGCATATTGAAAGGCCCCTTTGACTCTTACCCCCTCGAGTCCTACTGAGTCTGTCTCCTAAATAGCTCTTGAATCTGTTTCATTATCCCCAACTCCACTGCCAACACTCTGAGGACGCCCAAAGCAACTCTCATTTGAGCCACGACAATAACCTACTCAGAAACATCATGAGACCCTTCCTTCTAATCTCCATCTGGCAGTCAGAGTAATAATATTAAATGTGTAAATCACATTATGTCACTGTCCTATATAAGATTCTTCATAAGCTTGCAAATGCTTTTGGGATAAAATTCAAACTTGTTAGTAGCATCTTTCAAACTGCTTTTGACTGCAACCTCACAATAAGAAATGCATGTTATATTATTATGCATGTTATATTGTGAGTACACATGCACAAACATAAACAAGACAAATAGGTCATGAAATTTTCTTTTTTACATGTGATGCATTCTTATATTTTATTTTATTTTCTCTTCTGTGTTATTTTATTTATGAAACAAAACCAAACCAAAAAATAAAAACAAATGCTGCTCACATTCAATAAAGATGTTAAAAAACAAACCAACCAAAAACAAATGCTGCTCACAGCCTACCTAGGTCATTTCATAACCCCTAGAAGGTGCTGCCTGGCCTGGCTTCTGCCAGCTTCTCCAAACTCACACCTGGTACCTCTCCCTTACTAGGCTCCAACTACAAGGGTCTTCTTTGAATATCTCAAGAACAGAAATAAGCACCCACCTTCCCCAAAGAGACCACTCAGGACCAATCCTGTAATGCTTGACATCTCTGGGTATCCAATTACCTCTGAAAAGCTCTGGCTTCCTGGGTCCTTGGTCATCACTGGGACTCTCATCCCAATCCAGGTCTGGACATCCTCTTTTATGACCCAATGTTCTACTGCATGCTAATGAACAGACCTTCTGGAACTCATAGTGTACTTTCCAGAAGTACTCTAACCTCAGCCTCCCTTCTGATTATTCTCTTCACCTTCTTGCTCTGATTGAAACCTTGAGCACACTGCTTCCCCTGAAACACTGTTTTCCTTCACTTCTTTCCACCTACCCTCTCCCACAGTAGATATAATAGACCTTGTTGTTACCAATAATCACAACACCTCTAAAAGTTCAGTTTCGAGCAATCATCCTTTTGACCACTACCACACATATTTCATTTACTCTTATACCATCTCTCTATTATTTATCTCCATCTTAAAGACTGTCCTTTGAAATCAAAACAAAACAAACTCTGCTTTGATTCTTTGGTTCACTTTGCAGCTCCTATCCATTTACTGTACTCCTTCCTGGCAAAACTTCTCAAAAGAGTTGTCTGTACTTCCTGTCTATACTTTTTATTCCCCTTTACTCCCACCCTCATAACTAACATTTTGCTGTATTTACTTCCAGGTTTTTTCCCTGCACTTTTATGTAGTTACATATACAAACGTGAATCAAACTTCTTTTTCCTCATTATTATATCATACTTCTTTTTCCTCACTGTTATAATACTGTTATTTAAAACTTCTAAAGCATTTAAAAACTCTGTTTGTACCTTTGAGAGCTCCTCAAATGGGCCTTCCACACTGCCTGGTGAGTGATCTTTAAACAATAATCCCCTACTCATCTGCACAAGTCTCCAAGTGCTCCCTATCATACCTAGGATAAAACCTCACTCCTTGAAATGGCCTACAAGGCCTCATATGATCTGATTTCTGCCTATTTCTCTGACCTCATCTCTAATTTCCACTTTCACTCACTCTGTTCTAGCCACACTGACCTTCTTGCTGATCCTCAAATAAAGGAAGCTCAGCCTCTCCTCAGGGCCTTTGCACTTCTGTTCTCTCTGCCTGAACACACACTTGCCTTATTTTTACACAGCTAATTTCTTTCCGGTCTCAGTTCAAACGTTACCTCCTCTGAGAGATCCCTGTCCATCCTAATCTGAGAACACAATAAGCTCTCAACAAATGTTTGCTGGTTGGAGATACCTAGCTAAATAAAAAAGAACAACTGGGAAAAAACTCAATCAAGAAATAGAAAAAAGGATTGTCTTGGAAGAAACCAAAGGTAGTTTCCTCATTAAAGCAAAAGCAGGGGACATCCCTGGTGGCACAGTGGTTAAGAATCTGCCTGCCAATGCAGGGGACACGGGTTCGAGCCCTGGTCTGGGAAGATCCCACATGCTGCAGAGCAACTAAGCCAGGGCGCCACAACTACAGAAGCCTGGGCGCCTAGAGCACGTGCTCTGCAACAAGAGAAGCCACTGCAATGAGAAGCCCGCACACTGCAATGAAGAGTAGCCCCCGCTAACCGCAACTAGAGAAAGCCCGCATGCAGCAACAAACACCCAACGCAGCCAAAAGTGATAAATAAATAAATAACAATTTTTTTTAAAAGGGTGGGGTGAATGTAGGAGGAAGAGCAGTAAATGGGAGTTGGAAAGGAAGTTCCTTTGGGAACTCATGTCGATATCACCTTCCTGCTCTCCCTAGGTCTCAGGTCTTCTTTCCACAGGCCTTTGAAGGGAGCTTCACACAAACATCGCAAAGTGTTGTCACTTCATAAAGCAGCTGTATTATTATCAGCAATAGCTGATCCTGTGTGGCCAGCTCTTATTCACCTGAGCTCCATCTTGTCATGGCTCTCACCACCATCCAGGGCTCCTTCCCTCGCTCCAATAAGGAAAACACGTCTGGCTTAGGGATCGAACATCCAGCTTAAAAGAAAAGAAATGGGACATGGTCATGGGATGAAGAGTCCCAGATTCAAATCCAGTCCATTGGTCATCAAAGAAGAGAAACTGACAGGAAGTGATGGAGGAAGATGTGAAGGTCCGAAGGGTGAGAAATAAAAAGGTACACAGTGGGGCTGTCTACTTCTACTTTTAAAAAACTCAAACTTTTCCTTAGGGAATAGAAATCAGAAATTCACAATCAAGGAGGCAGAAAGTATGGGAGACAAATTCTGAAAACTGTGTAAAATGATCTTACCCAGTGAGATCAGGTGGCTGTAGTTCTCCACCATGACCTCCCTGTACAAATCCCGCTGAATGGGGTCAAGGTATTCCCATTCCTCCTGAGAGAAGTTGATGGCCACATCCCTGAAAGTTACCAACCACTGAAACAACAAATCCATTTATTATTTGTGAAAATATGATGATGATTTTGAGGTGAAATGAGATAGGAAGGAGGAGGGCATTGAAGGAAGGGGGTGATATAATAAACAATATGCCATGGCCGAACACCTGTAACACTGAAGGAAATTGGGTGCCTGAACTGTAGTGTCAACATGATCCTTGATCACTGCTGTTGCCACCGACAAAACTTCCTATGTATACTAGGACAATTCCATTATCCAGAAAGATCTGGGAATACAAAAGGCCAGAGGATTGCAGTTTCCCAATTAAATGAAATATTGTATGCAATCACACAGCACTTTAAGCTTTCTAATTCTCAATAAATAATAAATAAATTCTCAACTAATGGGTTCTTTCTGAAATTATCTTCTCTCTTTAAAGAAAAGGATAAAAGAAATTGATGAAATCTTTCCAAACAATTTTTTAACAACTCTCTGGACTGGAACATAGAATTTGGATATAACTTAGAATCTTTTTGAAGATTCAAGTTCATTAAGTCACTATATTATGTCACCAAATATAATGGACATACAGTATTTTCATTTTATGGATGTAATGATCTGCTTATTTGGGAGTATTTAAAACAAATTCTTTAATGTCTTTAGCTCTAGAAATCTAAAATTCTCAAAAGATTATACATCTGGCAGATTTTATTTGCTCCTACTTTCTGTGTTCCTAGGCTACAGTAGGCTGATGGATGCCAGTCTAGGTGCACACAGGCACCACTCTGACACATTCTGGCCAACTCCAAGGTAAGCCTTGCCTCTAATTGGTTTCTTGGCAAGAGGGATGTGGTAGGTAGACTAATGACCCCGCAAAGATGTCCATATCTTAACCCCTGGAACCTGTGAGTATGTTACCTTACATGGCAAATGGAACTTTGTAGATGTGATTAAATTAAGAATCTTGGGGAGATTATCCTGGATTTTCTGGTTGGGCTCAATGGGATCACAAGGGTATTTTAAGTGATAGAGGGAGGCAGAAGAGTCAAAGGAGATGTGATAATGAAAGCAGAGATCAGAATGATGTGATTGCTGGCTCTGAAAATGGAGGGGACCCTTGAGCCAAGGAATGTGAGCAGCCTCTAGCAGCTGGAAATGCAAGAAAATAGATTTTCCTCTGGAGCCTCCAGAAGGAACACAGACCTACCAACACCTTGATTTTAGCCCTATAAGACTGATTTCAGATTCCAACCTCCAGAAGTATGACAGTAAGTTTGTATTTCAGTCACTAAGTTTGTAGTAATTTGTTACAGCAGCAACATGAAACTGTACAAGAGGCAAGATCTCTTTCTTCTCAGGACTCAGTTCCCCAACCAATTTCAAAGGCCTCACAAAAAATCTCACAACACACTGAGATTGGGAACAACCAGCAGAAATGCTGTCACTTCCAAGTGGAAAACCTAGGTTTGTAGAGATCAAAGTCTGTCATGTGTCTCATTTAACTGCCTCACTAAACCACTGTGCTAATACTACTCTTAAGGGGAGATATTTCTGCTTCCTCAGGGCTCCTGGCAGAATACCATCTGGGGTAGGGAAAAACATTTAGAGAAGAATGAAGCTCTTTGCTACGATCACTCACTGGAATGGGAGAAATTTGGGAGCAGTTCCTTTACAGGACTAAGCAAGGCAGAAAATATGGGAATAAATATATCTGGTGTTCATATAACCCAACAAAATGATTGCACTTCAGGGAGGAAAGAAGAAACAGAAACTCACGTGAGGCATGGTTTTGAGAACTGTCAGAACTGATCAACTTTCTGGTTCCTCTCCTGGAGATGTGCAGAGTCCTAAGAGGAGAGCAGGGCTGGAGAAGGAAAACAAAGCCATGAGAACAAGCTTGCCTCAGAGCCCACAAAATGAGCACCTTGGAACTACCTTTATTTCCCCTCTTTGAGGGAAGTTTGGGAAAATCTCAGCCCTCTTAACAAATCCAGTGGAATCCAGATAGAGCAGAGGGAATTCAGGCCAGACTTTTCCTTAATCCCCATGATGCTGAACAGGACCCCAGAGGGTGCCAGTTTCCATGGGCATCTTACATCTCTAGGATAGGGGAATACCCAGGGAGCCCTGGAGAGCAGCGCTTCCCCAGGGCCCACATGCTAAGTGAGATGCTTCGCTCCCATGCTTAAAGGCTCAGGCCCACAGGACTGCTCCTGACTGCAGAAGCCAATCGCAAATCCCAGGCCACTGTACTTCTGACCCACCAGCTATAAATTGGGGGCTCCTACAATCCCCTCCTAAGGTTCTATACTTTGCTAGGATGGCTCACAGAACTTAGGAAAACCCTTCACTTATGTTTACCAATTTATTATAATGGATACAATTTAGGAGCAGATGCATGGAAAAGATGCATAGGGCAAGGTATGGCGGAGGGGGAGCTTGGAGTTTCCAATGCTGTCTTCAGGATTGCCACCTTCAAAGCACCTCAAGGTGTTCACTAACCCAGAAGCTCATCAAATCTAGTTCGAGAGTTTTTAGAGGGCTTAACCTCTAGTCCCACCCTCCCCTTTCCTGGAGGTCAGGTCAGTGGGTGGGTTGGAAAGTTCCAACCCTCTAATCATTTGGTCTTCCTGGTGATCAGCTCCATCCTGAAGCTATCTAGGGGCCACACTCCAAGCCGCCTCGTCAGCATAAATTCAGATGTGATCAAAAGGGGTTCATTACGAATAACAAAAGACACTCCTATCACTCAGAAGTTTGCTAAGTTAGGAAAACCAAATAGTTGATGAAGAAAAGTTCTTATTTATAGAACTCCAGCTAAGAAATGCAGAAGGAATTGAGAGAATTTTTTTAAAAAAATCACTATATGGGGCTTCCCTGGTGGCACAGTGGTTGAGAGTCCGCCTGCCGATGCAGGGGACATGGGTTCGTGCCCCGGTCCGGGAAGATCCCACATGCCGCGGAGCGGCTGGGCCCGTGAGCCATGGCCGCTGAGCCTGTGCGTCCGGAGCCTGTGCTCCGCAACGGGAGAGGCCACAACAGTGAGAGGCCCGTGTACCGCAAAAAAAAAAAATCACTATATGTAACCCTATTAAGTAATTTTATTTTATTTTAATTTATTAACTTAAGTAATTTTATTTTATTAAAAATAATAGATCTCAGCATCAATCATAAATGGATGTTATAACCTCTATGTCAGTGTTTCTTACCCTTTTTTTTCATTATTAGTTTTCATTATTAGTTCATTATTTTTTCATTATTAGTTTCCCCAAAGCCTCTTAAGACAACTTTTCTCCTGATACCACTTACCTATGAAATTTTAATACCACAGATATACTGTATATGTGTTTATGTACTGTGTCCACAAACCATTATAATATTTAGTAAACCATTATAATATTTAGTAAGAGTTTGGTCCCCCTCCCTGCCAAGAACCAAGTTTCACCCCCGTGGGGGCAATACCCCTCCTTCTGCCACTGAGAATGCATGCTTTAGGTGAAAGAGGAAGAGGGCATTTTATAAAGGAAGAATTAAGTGGACAGCACTTGAACACCAATCAACATGGCATCACCAGAAGTGGGACACCAGACTTTAAAAAACCTCAGGATGTGATGTCACAGGAAGTACACAACATAACCTATGAATTATTTTTGCCTGAAAATGTGATTTAGGCAAAATATGATCTGAATCTGATCAAGGCTCTATATCTAACTACCCCTTAACAGAAATATGTAGCATAGGGGAACTAATTATATGACACTACAAGGAAGAAATTAGCCAAAAGGAGAATGCACAATATTCTGTAAACAAATAACCTAGTTTTTCTACAAATCAATGGCAACAATTAAAGTAAAAACAGAAAATAGAGAAAACTGTTATGGATTAAAGAAACTTAAGAGATTTGACAGGGACTTCCCTGGCGGTCCAGTGATTAACACTCCACACTTCCAGTGCAGGGGGCCCAGGGTTTGATCCCTGGTTGGGGAACTAAGATCCCACATGCCAGTCATCCAGAAAAAAAAAAAAAAAAAAAAAAATTAATAAGAAAAGAGATTTGACAACCAAATGTAATGTGTGGACCTATCTGAATCATGATTTGAACAAACCAATTGTAAAAAAATCTATCTTCCAAAGAATTGGGGAAGTTTGAATATATACTGGGTATATGATATTATGGAATGACTTAGTTTTTAAAGTTGAGATAGCAACATGGTTATTATTTAAAAATATGTCCTTTTGGTTACATAAGCATACATGTGATTAAAATAACACTTTGAAATACTAAAGGAAAAAGGGGGATGGATAGGTATAAGGATATTTGCAAATGTGTTAAATTACGGCTGAGCGTTGGGCACACTGGGGTCGTATTATTTTCTACCCTGCTTGAAAATTTCCATACAAAGTTAAAACAAAAGTCCACATTTCCTCCAGAAAGTATAGTTATCTTTCATCAAAAATCTTAGATCAGAAAGGGCTGATTTGTCATCAGGTGGAAAAGGAGAGGTAAAGGTGTGGTTGGTGAGTAGAGTAGACTGGTGAGGCCATCCCTGGAGCGCCAAGATTCACAGGGATAGCAATACCTAAGGACAGTCACTGGTTTCTCCTAAGGTTTCTCCTTAGGAAGATGTTGCAGGAGGTAGCAGCATCTTGAAAAGAAGAAACTCGAGAGAAGAAAGAAAATGGCAACATACTTTAGAAGAGACTTTTAGGTGTGCAAAATTTTTTTCCTTTCCTCTGTATGCTTCTGTTGGAAAAAGTAGAACAGAGAAAAAAGAATCAATCAAAGGATATCAAGCCTTTCCCAGAGCCGACCAAACAGTTTAGGACCAATTCCCACAACAACTTCAGGCTGAGAGAGGGATCAGTTTTTCCCCATAGGTCTCTCAAGGTAGAATGGGGCATCCTGTTAGGGTGGTCTTCTGCCTTCCTGGGGCATAAACTCTCATTGTAGGGGTATCTTCAGAATAGCCTCGTTTTCTGGAAAGTGAAGGAACTGCCGGCACCTGGAACCGTGCGATTCTCAACTGGCGAGACTGTCCCTGTCTCACGGCGGGAGAGTACACAGTCACTAAAGGGGCACAGCAGCCAAGTGCGTTAGAAGGCGGCAGGTGAGCCCATCACGCTGCCACAAAAGCGCGCGCACACTCACACACCCAGCACTGTGGAACGTTCATGATAACATCTCCCTGCTCCCGTTGGCCGGGAACCAAAGTCACAGCGCCGCTTTTGCCGGAGGAGAGCGACGCCAAGTGCACACTCATACCTGCGGCGCAGAGGAACACAGCTGATAGCACCACGCCTCCGCCGCTAGGAACCGAAGTGACGGGGCCGACGACCAGCGGAGAAGGGCACAGCCACTCCTCACTGGCAAAGCCGACTTCCGTAAGGAATTAACCAGAGTGCTACGAAGTTGGAGATATGTAGTCCAGAGCCAGGATCGTCTCGATTCCTGTCAGCACCGAGCCCCAGCCGGCACACCGGTATTCCCAGCACCTTACAGGAACTTCCTTCTGGACGCTCCAACCCAAAGGCAGCGTGCGGGTCCCAGCGAGGTAGTGCACTCACCCACCGCTTCAGACTGGATCCTTAAACCAAGGAGTAACGGAGTAAGTGTACGAAATGGCGCAGGGACGCGGTGGCCTCCGGGAAATGTAGTCTTAAACTTGAGCCCGGCCCGATCCAACAGAATCCAGAGGCAGTTGGCCACGTCCTGTGGTCCGGAATCGGGCGCGCCTCGGGGCTCCCTTGCTTGAACCCGGGAACTCACGCTAATGCGGTGTGAGCCGAACTATTTCATTTTACTCAAGTGACTTCCCAGAGGTTCTAGAAAATCGCAAAGAGGTTACCAGAGCTTGAGTCTTGCAGTGATGCCTTAAGAGAAATATAGTCCAGGGCTGAAAAACCTGCAGAAGTCTAGGAAGCAGGATCTAGATTTCTTAGACAGAGCTCTGGCCCGGACGAGGTGACGGTGACTACCGGGTTGCTGCTCAGAGGGGTTCAGGGGTGTGATGCTTACTTCATGGTCGTGTGTGTGTGTGTGTGTGTGTGTGTGTGTGTGTGTGTGCGCGCGCGCGCGCCCCCGCGCAAGGGCAAGTGTTCTCTACAGGAGAAGGGAAGACTGGGGGGAGTGTGATGTGTGTCAGATTGTGCTTGAGACTGTGAGGAATGTTAGTGGATAAGCATGTGATCCATTGGGGATTGTGTTAAATGTCTGGGGATGGTTGTAACTCTAGCTTTCAGGATGATGTATGGGATTAATCGGTCTATAATTAAGTATTTTATAACTTGTAAGAAAATGCTTTTTCTTTGCATGGTTGTGAATTTAGAATCGATTCCATGGAATTATAGAAATGTTAAGTGAAAGATACATTGAGAGTTCACCTGTAGTAGTGAATCTGGGAAAAGAAATGTGTGAGCATAGTATTGTGAGAGTGGGTATGATTGTCTCATGATGCAGCTCTGTGTAACAGTGGTATCTTTAAGCTTCAGTTTCCTCACCTGTAAAATGAGGTTAACATTCGTGTAACATCTGGAGCAGTGCTGTCCAATAGATATTTCTGCAGAACTGGATTCCATGTCCAATGTCTGTGCTGTCCAATACCATAGCCCTGGCCACATTTGGCTATTGAGCACCTGAAATGAGACTAGTTTGACTGAGGAACTAAATTTTTTATTTTGTTTAATTTTAATAAATTTATATTTAAATAGCTATATGTGGCTAGCTAAATTTGACAGCGCAGTCTGAAGTATCAATTTGCCTTCAAGATTTGGAGGGGGAGAGCTCCCCTGGTGGCGCAGTCGTTGAGAGTCCGCCTGCCGATGCAGGGGATACGGGTTCGTGCCCCGGTCCGGGAAGATCCCACATGCC